ATGCCTGTAGTTCATGTAAGCAGTTCCTTATGGGTTGATGATGTAACCTCTCTTATCCAAAGGGTGAGCTCCAATCCACTGATTCCTTGTGCAGGAGGGGAAAAACAAACAAGCAAACAGTTTCAGTCAAGTTTTGTGCTACTCGAAGATTAAAATCTGGTTTCCTGTTGGTATGGCCAAAGGTTGTCGAGCTTGGGGGGAGGGAGGTTGGTTGGTTAGCTGGGATAGTTTTGTTGTGGGGGCTTTTGGAGGGGAGAGGTGGAGTGGAGGGTGTTTGGGGCTGGTTCTAGGTGTGGGGGTTTTTACAGAGCAAAGCACTTCTAGAAATACACAGAATCCAGAAATCTGTATCACAAGAGAGCCTTCATTGTTATACTCAGTATGAACTAGGACATTTTGAAAGCTGTAGTGCATTTTCTTGCTTGCTTGCCACAAGTGGGTTTTGCTCTATGCTTTAAGCTAAAGCCCTTTGATAATTCTTTTTTTTTTCCTGCTCGGTTTTTTACAGAGCAAAGCACTTCTAGAAATACACAGAATCCAGAAATCTGTATCACAAGAGAGCCTTCATTGTTATACTCAGTATGAACTAGGACATTTTGAAAGCTGTAGTGCATTTTCTTGCTTGCTTGCCACAAGTGGGTTTTGCTCTATGCTTTAAGCTAAAGCCCTTTGATAATTCTTTTTTTTTTCCTGCTCTTCCTTCGGTTTAATTCTCAGTGTACTATAAGGTATCACTAGCATAGCTATGAAATACAGAGAAACTTTGTAAAGCCAAGTGCTATGGTAAAGCAGAGCACAGAGACTGGATTCCCCTGTCACTCTCAGAACTGAGCCTTCCAGGTCAGGGTGGGTTGTGTTTTCGCCACCATCTGTTGTGCCTGAGGATGCCAACACAGTACTTGTCATGACCTTACAGTTTGCTGTGAACGAAAATATAATGTGGATTTTGGCTTTGATCGTGAACAACCTCTGCTCTTACGTGAGTTTGTATGTTGCTTTCAGAAGGCCAATTTTAAGAACAAATTATATGGCAGGAGAATGCGTAACACATGTAAGAAATTATCTAGGACTTTGGCTCCAAAAACTGAATTTGGGAGCTGACCAGTTTTTCAAGTTCTGACCCAGCAGTACACAGCTAACTTTGATAATCTTTTATTTAAAGAGCACCTAAAGCACTGCTAATGACCTCAGCACTGTAGGAAACTTCTTCCATAGATTGTCTTGTGTGTTTAGCAGCTTCTGGTGATTTTTTCACCATGAATTTAGAGCAGATTCCAGTTAGCATATGAGTAACATCATGTCAGTCCTAGTTCTTTCATTCTGACATCTCTTTTGGCTCCTGGTGCGATTTGGCCCGGTTTTCCAAAATGTTGATCCTGAGTCCAAATGTAACTTTGTGGGTGGTACATATGTCAAGCCCTAGTTCAGTATTTTTGGACAGCAGTAGCATCTCATAATTCTTTTGAAATGAAAAGGAGAAACAAAGTTAACTGAAAAATATGCAGCTAGATCTAGCTGGGCACAAGCCTTTTCTTCTCCCCTCCTCCACCCTGATGTTTTTCCATTTGGAAAGATCGAGGTTTGCGTGGCAGAAGCACTTGTCCGGATTTAGGCTCATTCAGAGCAGCAAGCGCAATAGCTCAGCCTTGTCTTTATAACCCTGTCGTGCTGTGTCCTGGTGGCCACCGAGACCTCCTGAGATGCGGATGAGGAAGATGAGGAGAGCTGAGGATTGCAGCCCTTTGTCTCTGTTTGTTAAAACAGTGAGCTAGGCTGAATTATGTCAATGGCTGAATAAGGCCATGTTGGCACTGAAAAAGCCAAACAGCCCCCTCAGGTTCTCTGCGTGGCTGTCTTTTATATACCTAATGCCATATTGTCTTTTTATATACAGGACACAAGGGTATAAATGCAACTTTATTACCTAAAATCAAGTGAAATCGTCCAGAAGGTTGTAGCCTGTGTGAAATAAGCACACGTACAAAGTACAGGAGGTTTCACGGGCATAAATTAAAATGAACCTCATAGCTTCCTTCCTTCTCCCCAGCGCAGCTGCTGAGCTGCTAGCTGAGAAGTTGCCCTTCGTCCTTCTCTTGCAGCAAACCACATGCTCATACATTATTAATTCTGTTTCGCTAGTAATGCAGGACATAGGTACTTTCGTAGGGTGTCTCAGGTTGCTTTTCAGTGTGTCTGTGCCAGCTCCACTGCTGCAGTTGCAGTTCTGAGCATTGTTTTTCCAAGTGCTGATAATTTTTCAGGCGATAGCAACATCAACAGAAAAAGCATGTTTGAGATGAATCTTGACACCCAAGTTCTGAGCCCAAGAGGTGATTTGCTGTAAGAAACTACAAAACAAATCAGTGTAGCCCCCTGGGCCTTCCTCACTTAGTCACATCGCTTCAGGAAGTCACAGGCTAGCCAGCTGCCCTTCCTCATCTGCTGATGAAACAAGTTAGCTTCAGCCCTTGCAACACGTCCCTTTCCAGCATCCTTACGCTGTTGTGTCGCAGTTGAAGGCCCTAGAGATGATGGTCCTTATGCTGGTTCCATAAAACATGCTGGACTCAGCAGTGGGGACGGTTCTTTTGAAGGGCATTGGGCTAAATGTTATCTCTCTCACCATTTCTTTTTTTCCTTCTACCTAAAGCGCGGTCAGTGTGAGGTGCTATGCGAGAGAATATAAGGAATGAGGGGAGAGGGGGAAGAAATCTTGATTCCTGGTTTTGGCAGTGTAAAGTGAAGGCTTTGCTGTTAAGTATTGGTAGTTATCTTGAAGATAATATTGTTTGCAAGTAAAGAATTAATTTGGGTTTTCCTTTTTTCCTTTAAAGATGGAGTTGCATATAGTTAAAACTGTCACATCAACTTAGTCTTGTTCGCTATTTGTAAAAAATATGTACAACTTGAAAATCCGGTAGGAATGGTTGTCTTGTAAGGTTTGTAGTTTGATTAGTCATTTGACTCTGATGCCTAACATGAACTCAGCTGAGACCCTTTTTTGTAAATCGATAATTGATCCTTTTTCTTGGTGTCAGAGCACAACTGGCTCTATGCAAAGCCTGGGAAATAATTCAGATGACTCCTCAAGGAGGTTTCACCACAGCTTCCAGGACTACAGGTCCGACTGGAAGCTTTGGGACATGTTCATGAGCAGTCAACAATGGTAAAATTTTTCCTCCATGTTCAGACCAGGATATCCAGGTTGGTGAGTGAGGCAGAGACTTGAGCTATTCCTTGTGAGAAGTAAAGGAAGGAACAAGAGCAAAGTCCATGACTGACTCCCAACAAAATGTTCCTCCAGGATTTAAAGATCAGAGAAGTATTATCATGCTGTCTACTTGTAGTGATTTGTGCTTTTTTTGACTTAAGAGCTGATCCATTTGCTCTCCCCAGTACAAAATGTCGTTCGAATACCTTCACTGTATTGTCTCATAGAGATGCTCAAGCATGGTGGTTATATACTCAAGATGCTCTTGGCTATGCGTTCCCATGAAGGACCCGCTGGATTTTGCAGACCTCACCTGGTCCTGTTTTGGGTTTTCACGTGTTTTGTAGTATGGGAGAAGAGTCCACCACTTCTGGTTTTTTGCATTTTGCTTGCTTTTCCTTTTTCTTTCTTCTCCCTTCCCTCATCCCCAAACCCTAATATGGGCCCTATCTGTGACTACTGGGAAGTGTAAAGGTGGGACTTAAATGTCTTTTAAGTCTGAGCCCTGCCTAGGCTGGCCAGACTGTATTGCTGGGTAATACATCACCATTTATTGATCCCAGCCCTATGACATATTTTGGTGAAACAGGGCAGTTCGGTTGTGATATAGGATTTCACTCTGAATTTTTTAATTTCCCGCCGGTTTCTGTCACTGCCTTACGTTTGCTTAAACCTGATCGACTGCGACTCCCTGGAGCTCAGGCAGCCAGCCCGGCACCGCGGGGCCTGGCAGGGGACCCACTGGGACACCTTCTCTCCTCCCGCTTCTCTCTTCCACTTTGGAGAGCGCAGGGGAGGATTTTTATATCCCCCCAAGGGCTTTGGGAAGGGGTGGGCTGGGAGGGAAGGACGACATGCAGGGAGAGGCTTGAGGAGGGACAATTTCGTGGTACGAAGGGACACGTCTCCCTCTGGGGCAATGTACTTTAAGCAAAGAGGCTCCACAGCACCTTGGCTCGAGCACGTGTTACACAAACCACAAGACTCTACAGCTTACAAGAACGACAGCCATCTATTTACTATTTTTCTTATTTATTTCTTACTGGCAAAATTGCTCACCTTCTCACCTCATCAGTGTCACCAGCTGGACGTGTCAAAGGTAGAGTGCACAGGCATACGGTAAACAGAATCAGAGCACGAGCAGTTACTTCTCATGTCCCTTGGCCTTGGGAAGGCTGCTGCGAAATGTGAAATCTCTGACAACCTTGACTGTTGCAGTCAAGGTCAAAAGAGCAGTAAATATCCCTCTACAGCACGTGAAACTTGTCTTGGTTTAAGCGGCCCTGAAAGGTGAGAACAGGATGGGAGAGCTGCTTCACGCTTCGACTGTGTGTGTGTCCTCTCGTTGCTCACCATTTCACATTAACAGTGTGAATCCAGTCATTGGTTAGCTTCTTGGTGGGTTGTGGGGGATTTTTTTTGGTTGTTTGGGTTTTTTTATGACACTGTATTACAGTATAGCTGCTGCTATAGCCAACAGTACCTTACCTGATTAGGAAGTTATTCCAGTCCACCTCTTTTTCCTTGCAAGCAATAGGAGCAACTTGGCATGGTAGGTATTTCCTCATACTCACTTTTCCTGTTGGTGAAAGGGATAATTCTTTAGGGCAAATCTTTCCACAGGAAAAGAATTCTACGTCTTTGTTCAAAGACACGAGTCCTTGGGAAAAATAATGATTTTTTTTGTTATTTGTTATTTTTTTTTAAATCACAGCTGCTTCTTGTTTCAGGGCACTGGGTCACTAATTGAGTGCAAGCTTTATAAATGTTGTTTGTCCTCCCCCCACAGGGCATACAAAACCATTGAGGAAGATGACTTGAAGTTTCCCCTTATATACGGAGAAGGCAAGAAGGTGGGCACATTTGCTTTCCTCAGACCAAAGGAAGAAGGAATTCTGTGCTGTTTACCACTCAGTTTAGCCTGTGGCAGTCCAATGTTTTCCACTCAGTATCTCTTTATTTTATCGTTTTGACAGCTTGAAAGAATATCTTAGTTCTGTCATAAATCAGTCTCATGTCTGGGGGGTGTCAGGGAGAGCTCAACATATTAAAAAGCATTTTTATAGCAAACAGTCATTTGCTGTTCAGCATGCTTTTGTTTTTCTTTAATTGTAAGTAGGCTACAATGAGACTGTCTTAAAGAATTGAGAATTGAGTTTAAATGTTTTGGTTTCATTGCAAAATGTAACTAGGCTGGATTAAGATAGCAAAATTACCTGTTTGCTGAAAACAAAGCAGGAGGATATTTAATAGTGCTCAGAGATGCAAAACTCTAATTTATGAAGGGTAGAGATCAGGGCAGGATTTGGAAAGTATAACACCCCTTAACTGTATCTTCTTCAGCTGGTGTACGTGAACTTGCTGTTGAATTTTGCTGATGTGTAGATACTGATAGTTTTTCTTGAAAGGAAGAAACGAACCATTCTGTTTGGGGTGTACTTTGTTTCCAGCTCTGTGATTAAGAACAGTGAGATCATTAGTGCTGATCCTAGCAAGCTTAGCTGGATGCAGCAACAGGATCAATATAAGGATGCAGTGGTGTCAGTTTGCCAATATTGGTATGCTCACTGTGTTTCTAAATAGTGCTTCCCTGCTGCATTAGGTTCTTATCTCAATGCAAAAATATGCGCCTTTCAAAATTAGTCCAGTTTTTGAAGGTTCAGACCTGCAGCTTATCTGTGATTTTAGCTGGGTTTATAATTATTTGCAAAATGTTTCATGCACATCTTTTTAATTTACTTTCTTATTGCCTTATGGAGCCAGGGTTTAGTGAGGCAAAATAATTTGAGGCAGTTGCTCTCTGTTATTGATGCTGTGAGCTCTCTCGTTCAGAAGCTCCTGCAGCTAAGCTAGAGTTCAGGGTAGGCGGTACAGAGACAGTAGAGAGTGAGCTTCCCCGTGAGGCTGTCTGCCTGGTCAGTCTTTGGAGGAGTGTCAGAGAATCACAGAATCACGGAATCACGGAATGTGAGGAGTTGGAAGGGACCTCGAAAGATCATCCAGTCCAAACCCCTGCCAGACCAGGATCACCTACAGTAGGTCACACAGGAACGTGTCCAGGCGGGTTTTGAATGTCTCCAGAGGCGACTCCACAACCTCTCTGGGCAGCCTGTGCCAGTGCTCTGTCACCCTCACAGTGAAAAAGTTTTTCCTTAAGTTTACGTGGAACCTCCTATGCTCCAGCTTGCACCCGTTGCTCCTTGTCCTGTCATTGGACATCATGGAGAAGAGCCTGCCACCGTCCTCCTGACACTCACCCTTTGCATATTTATAAACATTAGTAAGGTCACCTCTAAGCCTCTTCTTCTCCAAGCTAAAGAGACCCAGCTCCCTCAGCCTTTTCTCATAAGGGAGATGTTCCACTCTCTGAAGATGAAGATGTTCCACTGTTGCCTGTGTGTTCAGCAGTTTAATGTGGCCTTTGGCACTTTACCAAGGAGGGAGTAGATGACAATATGTCAATAGGAAGAGGCTGCAGGTTTCTTAGGCGAGTAGTTAGGGTCCTCATCCTTTTTATAAAGTGTTTACTGCCAGTATAATTTGCTGAAGGAATGTTCTTGTAGACTGGTGTGGGGACAGTGAGACAACTGGGTTAGATTTCCACAGTCGCAGCCCCTTACAGGTGGTCATAGTCTGAGACGGGTGTACACAGACTGGGATGTGGATGGACACAAGGCTTGGAATAATGGGGGAAATGGAGATGACGCGAGTGTGAAAAGCTTTGAAGGCAATTAGCTGTGTTAAGTCTAGAGTTTCTGGGAGAGAAAAGGGAATTCATCCCTAACTGTAACAGTTACAGAGTAGGAACATTTCCCTGAACTCTTTCCTTGTTGATGCAGTGCATGTAGCAAGATTTGATCCTGTTGCTATTCTTTATTTCCAGGCTCGGGTTATGGCAACTATTGGAGTGACCCGAGGACTGGGAGACCATGACCTGAAAGTGCACGACTCCAATATATACATCAAACCTTTCCTTTCCTCATCTCCTGAGGTAAAACAGCCAGAGTTCAACTATCTGATTTGTGGGAGAGAAACAAATATACTTACTGTGCTTATTTGTTCTTCCTGAATTGTCTGTTCTGATTGTGGTCCAATTCAGGTAACACGCTTCCCTTCTCAAAGGTGAAGCGTGTTAGTAACACCCACCTTAGTAACATCCACATAGTAGTAGGAATGTTCTAAGTTCCCCAGCTGTGTATCCTGGCTCTGGTTGCTCCACATCTCTGCAGAGCCTTGATGTCTTCTCACTCACTGGTCTGTGGTTATCCCATAGCCTTACTGTCAGGGTGACAGATGCCCATGTCTCTCCACCTTCATGTGCTCCAGCTCCCCTTAAGGCCTAGGTCACGCTGCCTTCACAGAAGCTGATGGAAATCTGTGTTCTCCAGAAGCGAGCACTGGATGTCTTCCACAGTAGCATAGTACTCTACATTACACAGAGGATACCACATCAGCTCTTAAGCAGGAAGATGCCAGGAGCGATTGGAAGACTGCTTTATGCTTCCATCTGTCTGCCCCCTCACCTCCAGTTCTCAATTCTTTGTGATGATTTTGTGCAAACACACAATAATGGCAGGAATGGCACAAGGAGGAGATTATGCGGTATTTGAGTTAGGGGTAGTTTTAAATTCCTCCATCGTTTTGACTTACTGCGCCACAAACAGTTCCATTTTTTTGCCCACCAGAGACCTTGCAGTGAGAATATCAAGCCTTCCAAGGGGATTTGAATGTATTTGTTAATAAGAAACATGCAAACCTCGCTTTTTTTTTTCTCTCCCCTGTAACTGCATTCCAGTTTGTACATCAAGGAACAGTTGACACATATTTTTCATAAAATATTAAGCAAGGGCAAACCATCTGATGACAGCACAAAAAAGAGGAGACTTTGCTTCCATGGCTCAAATGCTGAGAGCTGTCCACTGTCAGCTGCCTTGCTGGAGTTTTAACCATATCCAGTATTTGACCTTGAATTTATTGCTTGCTATAGCAGCTTGAGAGAATGAAAATACATAAATGACGTAATAGTGCTAGGAAGGAACCAAACTATTAAATTAACCTTTCTAAGAACATCTTTGAGGCTTCAAAAACAAAAAAAAATGTCCTGAGAGATTCTGGCCCTGAAGGCAGAAATCTACATACAGAACAGACCCTTCTTCGTGTTTCCTTGCTGTCAATCTGGTACCTTCCATTTCCCTGCCCTTTGAATGTGTGGTATCCCTTGCTTGGGACCTGCTCTTTTTCTCCTCTGCCCTCATCACTGTGATGGATTTGTTTCGTGCCAGTGAAATGATGCAATTCTACCTATTTATTTTTTTTGCTGGCATGCTGAGACCTAGTGTTTCTGGGGTATGTAATGGCTGCAGCACAGTATCACAGCAGTATCATCTCTGCCAATTGCTGCTGCAGTATTTGTCTGTGTGTATAAACCAAAGCTTCTCTTGGGCTTTTCTGAATTGTGTGGAGTGTGCCTGTACGTGCCTAAATTCTGGAATATGACATCCAGTTCATATGCTATCCACGTTTCAGGATCTCTTAACTGCTTCGCAAAAGGGAAGCAAAATTGGCTTTGTTTCCACGTTTTCCTTCACAGCTAAATTCAGCAGAAATGTACGAGGGCAGGAGGAGGAAAGATGGAGCACCAGCCACCTCAATTTATACACACAGGCAAAAAAAAAGCCCTGAATTTCATTAGGAAGCAACATATGCTCCAACTTGCTTTCCATTGCAGCCTTTTTCTCTTAATCGTCTCTTCCTTCTCTTCACAGAGAGAGCCCCAGTGCTTTATCTCCTCCTTTTTCCCCTGACTAGTTCTGTCCATACGTGGACCGTGCACCTTGCACAAAAACCGGCATTGAGAAGCAATGTCTTTATGCTGCCATCTGGGAAGCTTGGCACTTGGAATCAAAGGCAGGGCTGTCAAGCAGCAGTCGTATTTGGCCCTTGTGCAGCACTGGATTTCAAATTGTTTATATAGAGGTAGGGAAGCACAATGTCTGGTTTCCAGACCTGGAAAAAGGGAGGCACAGGAAATTAAGGTGCACAGCGAGTCGTGACAGAGGGAGGATCCATGTCCTCTGCAGGCTTCTGTTTCTGTGCTGTAATTACAGCGGCCTTTCTTAGGCTGGGGGCATTGTGGTGAATGTTCAGAATGTTCTTCTTCCAGCGGGACAAAGCTCTTGGTATGCCGTGTCCACCAAAATTTAGCTGAAGGAAAAATAAGCGTCCCTGAAACTGCTTCCAGAAATAGGCCTATAAAAGTAATTTGAGGGTGGTGTGAAATGATACTTTGATAGAGTGCCAGGCTAAGGGAGGAGAAGTCATGTAGCCAAGACTGACAAATGTAATCAGGATTCAGTGGCTCAGCTGTTACGAGACCAGATTTGGAGGACTTCTGCAGGTTGACGAGCTCTAGAGAATTGAGCCTTTTATAATGAACTGGAGTAGCACAAAGCAGGCAAGCCATGGCTGAGGCTGTCTGGCATGGAATTAAATATTTATTTTTCGTAATGGAACAGTTCATTTGAAAGCTTTCAGCA